GGCCAAAGACATGAAAGAGGACCAGAGATATAGGAAGCCTATTAACATACTAATACCCATTCCTTTCTTTAAGGAGGGGAGATGAAGAGAAGCTGCTGTCTCTTATACACATCTAGATGTGTATAAGAGACAGGTACAAGATGGGGTTTCTGTCATAGTTTCAGATAAGGTTAGGTTGTTGGTCCCCTCTGCCAGATTTGTAAGAATTCTTTATTCCAGGCTTCTATAGTTTGGATGTTTGATCTCTCCAAATCTCATGTTGAAATTTGATCCCCAGTGTTGGAGATGGGGCTTAATGGAAGGTGTTTAGGTGATGGGGGTCAGATCTCTGATGAGTAGATTAATACTCCTTGGAATGGGGGGTGAGCTGTCACTTTATTAGTTCTTGCGAGAGCTGCTTAAAAAGAGTCTGGTGCCTCCCTCCCATCTTGCCTGCTTCCTCTCTTGCCATGGGATCTCTATGCACCAGCTCCCTTTTGCCTTCTGCTATGAGTGGAAGCAGTTTAAGGCCCTCACCAGAAGCAGATGCTGGCACCAGCCTGCATAACCATGAGCCAAATAAACTTTTCTTTAAAGTTACTCAGCCTCAGGTATTCCTTTATAGCAACACAAACACAAACAAACTAAGACAGCTGGATTTTTTTAAAAAATTGAGATGGCGGTTTCACTAGGTTGCCCAGGCTGGTGTTGAACTCTGGGGCTCAAGTGATCCTCCCACATTAGTCTCTTGAGTAGCTGGGACTACAGGCACGTGATACCACACCTGGCCAGACAGCTGGATTTTTTTTCAAAATAGAAGGTCAGTGATGATGAATTTAAAGCATTTGTATGTTCAAAACTGTCTTTATTCACTTCCCTTTTGGAAGATGGTTTGGTTGTGTTTTGAATTCTGATTCAAAGGTATTTTCCCTCAACCCTTTGAAGGTGATTCTCCATTATCTTTTTATATGCACTGTGGATAATGAGAGTTGACTGGTATCAATCTGATTCTCATTCTCTGGGATTTCAGTTCCAGCATATATTATACATTGTCTCTTCTCTTTGGTTATTTTGAGAATTTTTTTTTTTTTTTTTTTGAGATAGAGTCTTGCTCTGTCAC